TTCCCATCTATCTTTGTCTGTTCATAATCTATATATATTTTTATAACTTTGGGTTTGTGATTTGGTTCGAAGAAGCATTCGTTAGTGGATCCAAATCAATTTGCAAAATAGTCTTTTTTTTTTTTTTTTTTTTTTAAGCATTTCACCCCAAGCAAGGCGGAGAGCCACTAGGACGCAAGGGGTTACAGAAAATAGGAAGATCAGATAGGAGTGATAGAAGAAAGGATGAGGGTAGTAGATAGATTAAGGCAACTGGAGATGTCGATTGACATTCACTTGAATGTGGAGATTATAACCTCAGAAACAGGAGAAGGGAAGAGTTCTCAGGCGAGAGGTGCGAGACATGAAGCTATTAGAGTAGTGGAGACGGCTACATTTTTGAGTTTCGACAGTGAAGGGGTGAGAGCGGGATGCCAGCCTCGTAGGGCGCTTGAATCATGAAGTTTGGGAACCAGCGAATGCAGTTCCCTGAGCAATTTCCATGAAAGTATTTGTAGAACAGACCCGGGGAGGCGACGGTGCGTCTGTGAGAAGTGACTGTAGACGAGAGGGAGGGCCAACCATATTACATATCCGCCTCTGGAGCCTATCAAGAACCCCGAGGCAAACAGAAGGGCGCCAGACCATATATTGCAGCATCCATGCAAAGGGCGAATTGTGGATGTATATCTGGAGGATCGACTCAGGGAGAAAACTTCCTAGCCCGGTCAGGGAGCCAACTTTCCTCGCAGTGGACGAGGCAATTGACTGATGTATTTATTCCATCTCAGGTCCAGTCAACGTGAAGAAGCCGCAGAGTTGCTCAGGAAGTTGAGCGTCAGACATTATAATGGAGGGAAGGGAAGGCTCTGTGGTGATTAATAGAGAGCAGTTTAAGCGTTGAAGTTGACCAGCCAAATCTTGCCCCAGTTCACAATCGATTGGAGGTCCTTTTCGGGGCGCACGGCAAGGTGAGTTTTGTCAGCGAGACTGGATTTGTTTTGAGGCAGGAATAAATTCTTGTCATCGTTAGATGCCGATAGTTACGGCGTCATAGGTCATTTTATAGATAAGGAATAGAGTGGGGCCTAGGATTCTTGAGGAACTCCTGCGTTCGTTAGGAACTGGAGGAGAATCCGTTGTGAACGACCTTCAATTCACGGTTTGACAGGAATGATTGTATTACGTTATATAATTGACCCGTAATGCCATAACCCTGGATCTTGCGGAGAAGGAATCCAAACCCTATCAAATGCTTTGGAGATATCTAGTGCCACGGCTCGGGCTTCCCCGTTATTTTGGAGAGTTCGGTAGACTGTTTCCGTGATGGCTGTGAGCACATCGGCTGTAGATCTGGCAAAGCGAAAACCATATTGCTTGTCTGAGAGCAGATTATTGGATGAGGTGGTTAACCACCCCGGTATTGATTAGAGCTTCGAAGATTTTGCCGAAGAGGGAAGGAGACTGATAGGACGGTAGTTGGAAGGGTCAGAGGGGTCGCCGGAGTTCTTGAAGACAGGAACAATCAGCAGTCAGGAAAACAAGATTCCTTGAGGCAGTAGTTGTATAGTTTCGAAAGGGCGGCGCCACTTCAAGCGCATTTCTTTTAAGACAATGGCTGGTATCCCATCTCCACCACTTGTTGAGATCTAAATTGGAGATAATGCCCATACCAAGGTTAGTTATGTTTAACCCACTCAATATGGCCTCAGTTCTAAGAGGAAAGTCGGTATGGGTACACCAGAAGAGTCGAGCGTCGAGTTGGATGAAAATTTCCGAGCAAAGCATTCAGCCTTGTCGGTAGAGGAGGTCAAGACTCCGAACTGGTTGAATAGGGGACATAGAGGGTTTGTACTTATTCAATACACTCTTGCAGAGACGCCAATAATCTTTGGAGCCAAATTTCGAGACGCAATACGTTCTTCATCAAATAGTGACTTAGCATCATTTAGGACATCTACAATCGTTACGGGCGGCGGCAAAGAGACGTCTATTTTGTCGCTACGGTATAGGTGGAAGTAGTGGTTATGGGCGATGGCGGCTGAGCAAGCAGCCGAAAACCAGGGGCAGGAGCGCGTCTTATGTATTTCCTTGATGGGATGAAAGCGTCGATTCCAGCTTTAACCCAGGAAGAGACCTCAGAAGCACATTCTGGACGGGGAGCTTAAAGACTCCATCCCAGGGGACATCGGAGGAAATCACGGAATCAGTCATCGTTGATAATAGAACGAAGTTCTAGTGGTAGGAGGTTCTTTATGGGGGGATCTAAAGGAGATGTTAACCGATACTACTGCATGGTCAGAGTTACCAAGTGGGCATATTGCGAGGCGCTGCAGGATTCGGGGATGGAGGTAAAAGCACAGGTCTATAGAGAGGCTTTCTTACCCGGTTGAGGGCAAAAATCTGGGGAAGTTAACTATCTGTGTGAGGAATGGAGATTATTGCGTTTGAATGCCTGCATGTATGTAGTAGCATTCTTATGCATGTGATGGGCGTTAAAGTCTCCAAACACAAAATGTGAGCAAACGGGTGGAGGGAGAGAGCCTTGTCTATGTTGTCTGAAATGCTATCAAGTATCTATCTTGAGAGGATGGATGGGTAAAGGAAGAAGAGATAGCTTACCGCATTGAGGAGTTAGAGACGGATCTATGTATGACTGGTCAGGCGATTCAGAGAGGACTCTCATATATCGTATCAAGATCATGTGGGTTAGAGATCTTTTCTATGGCCGGGGATCGAGAGATCAGAAGAGGGATAGATGAGACAAGGTTTGTCTCGCAGAGAGCCAAAATATCCGGGCCGTTTATGAGGAAATATTCCAGACTGTAGAAGTTTGTTCTAATGCCCCGGATGTTGGAGAATGAAATGTTGAGGGGTTTAGGTGGTTTCTGAGATCTGGTTTAGGGTAAATCTTTCGGTTTTATAACTATGTTGGATTTATTTGCAAAGATGAGAAGGCCTGAGGTAAGAGAAAACAGACATCGACCGTGACGCGGGCAGAGAGGAGTCAAAATCCGCATCATTATGTGGCCTTGCCCACCGGAGGTGACTGCAGGGACACCTTTCCACGCGCGACATCTATCTATATTATACAACTGTTGATCAGAGCAGCCGCTCAAGACGCTATCAAGAGTTCTCTAACTACCAGTCGGAAACATCAACCAGAGAACTGTCAGCCGTGTGCCCTCAGAATGAGGTGTTGCCACAGACTGCATGCATCACGGGAGAAACAGACCTGCACTAATACTATCGGAGAGAGAAGACAGTCTGGGAACCCCATCCTAGACAAGAAACAAGGTGTAAGCCTCTACTCATGTCCAATAGAAGGGGAGGAGGTTGACCGGGCGGTAGAAGGACTACCTACCCTATTACAGATAACACAAAAAAGGACGACACAAAAACAGAGGGAAGGATTGGAGGGAGATAACAGGTAAGGAGTCCTGTTCACAAATGGCTATACTTTTTTCACATTAAGTTTTAACTTAGTATAAGTCCCATTGTCTATTTTTAAAAGAAATTGAAAATACGGTTACCCGGATTTATTATCATCCAGTAGAAGACATTCAATTTTCCATTTTCTAGTTTTTACTTTGTTAACATTTCGGATCAGGATTCCTTACTAAATTATCAAAAAGTAGGGGAGGATAGGAGGGAAAAAAATAAAAATTTAAAAAACGGAAAAAACGAAAAAAAAAAAAAAATGAAAAATGTAAATGCAGTCAGCTAGAGCGAAACGATATCACATGGGCCAACAAGTGGGTGACTGCCTGCGTCGTCATGATGATGGTGACTGAATATACGGCTTTACCTTGTGTCGTCGAAAGGAATATATAATCCTCGGCCCCCATGTAGGGGAGATATGCTTTCAATAAGATTTCAAAAGAGGAGATAGAATGGCGAAAAAACAATTCCACTTTCAGACAATATATCAAGCAAAAAGATACAGTCACAACATCGTTAGGATACTGACGAGACATCGCATCTATCTATTCAATCTTCCATTTTTTGTTTTTACTTTGTTAACATATCGGATGATTCCTTACTAAATTATCAAATAAGTAGCATCACTGGGACAAAATGCCTTTCGGTAGGGAGGGAGGGAGGGAGGTGAGGGAAAAAAATAAAAAATTTAAAAACGGAAAAAACGAAAAAAAAAAAATAAAAAATAAAAAATAAAAAAAATGAAAAATGTAAATGCAGTCTTTGAAACGATACTCACATGGGCCAACCACTGCGTCGTCATGATGATGATGACTGAATATACGGCTTTCCTTGTGAGCGTCGACCTGGTGGGGGGAGGAATCATCGCCAATCCTCGGCCCCCAAAAATTTCTGGGCTAGGGAGAGATATGCTTTCAACAAACAAAAGAGGAGAAAACGATTGTCTCAGAGTAGTGAATTCGATCCTTGAGTGCCCCATCTTTTGGCTTTTGAAAGAATTTAAAATGTGAAAATGTTTGAACTGTGATACTCCCACTCTCTCGGCCTGGAGACATTTACCCAGTTACATGAGGTATCGTTACAAGCGGAGATATCCAGGTTTCAGTAGATTAGCAAGGCAGCTACCTTATCCGGCCCATGATCTGAGGCACTCGACAAGACTTGCTTTACACAGCCTTCATGACTGTTGGACCCATAATAGATATCATCGGCCTACTTCGCAGGCAATAGCGTTGACACACACGAATTAACACGAACCTCTCCCGGTTTACCTGTCATATTATGACTCATATATCCACATATGATAAAATCTATCTATCTATCTATCTATCTATCTATCTATCTATCTATCTATCTATGCTCTTTGATAATCTATTTTTCCGTGTATGTATGTATCTATCTACTATCTATCTATCTATGTTCCTTGATAATCTATGTTCCTTGATAATCTATCTATCTATCTATCTATCTATCTATCTATCTATCTATCTATCTATCTATCTATCTATCTATGTTCCTTGATAATCTATCTATCTATCTATCTATCTATGGTCCGAAAAAATCTATACATCCGTGTATGTATGTATGTATGTATGTATGTATCTATCTATCTATCTATCTATCTATCTATCTATCTATGTTCCGTTATAATCTATCTATGTTCCTTGATAATCTATCTATCTATCTATCTATCTATCTATCTATCTATCTATCTATCTATGTTCCTAAAATCTATATATCCGTGTATGTATGTATGTATGTATGTATGTATGTATCTATCTATCTATCTATCTATCTATCTATCTATGTTCCTTGATAATCTATCTATCTATCTATCTATCTATCTATCTATCTATCTATCTATCTATCTATCTATCTATCTATCTATGTTCTTTGATAAATCTCTTATCTATCTATCTATCTATCTATCTATCTATCTATCTATCTATGGTCCGAAAAAATCTATACATACGTGTATGTATGTATGTATGCATGTATGTATGTATGTATGTATGTATCTATCTATCTATCTATCTATCTATCTATCTATCTATCTATCTATCTATGTTCCGTTATAATCTCTCTATGTTCCTTGATAATCTATCTATCCATGTATGTATGTATGTATGTACCTATCTATCTAGATCTAAAGGCTATCTATCTATCTATCTATGGTCCGAAAAAATCTATACATCCGTGTGTATGTATGTATGTATGTATGTATGTATGTATCTATCTATCTATCTATCTATCTATGTTCCGTTATAAAAATGTTCCTTTGATAATCTATCCATATATCTATCTAATCTATCTATCTATCTATCTATCTATCTATGTTCCTAAAATCTATATAAATGTATGTATGTATGTAAATGTAAATGTAGGAAGAGATCTATCTATCTATCTATCTATGTTTCCTTTCTATCTAAATCTATCTATCTAATCTATCTATCTAAGAAATCTATCTATCTATCTAAAAATGAATCTAGAATCTACGATATTATAATTTGGTCCAAAAGAAATAAATAAAAAATGATGTATGAGAATGTATGTATATTATGTAATCTATCTATCTAAATCTATCTAAAGAAAAATGAGAGATAATCTCTCTATGTTCCTTGATAATCTATCTATCCAAAGAATGTAATGAAAGAAATGTAAAGAAATGAATCTATCTAAATCTATCTCATTTTGTGTTGCCCTTTTTTTTCTGTCTCTATTTTTTTTTCTTCATTGAAACTTAATCGAAATTTAGAATGAACTCTCTTTGGTCTCCCTCCTCTTAAAGACTCGTCGTTGACCGCAGAAATAAGAAAGAAAAACCTGAGCTAGAATAAAAATTTCACCAACTAATTACAAACCATTGAAAACGATTCAATAAGAAATTTTTCCCATCTAATTGAATTCAAAGAGGGAAAGAAAAAAATGGATGAAGATGATGAACCAACCTTTATTATGATTTACGTTTAGAGAAATCAAAAATTAACAACAACGAACTGATTGATATCGTTGAAATGAACGACGAATTATTATTTCTAAATCAATCATATTTTTTCTTTGGGATAGAAAGGAAAACAAATTCGTTTATGATTTTAAAATTGAAAAAAAAAATCATTAGAATTTTCTTGATTGTTTGGTGATTTCCGTTAAAGAAAGAGACTGAACGTTTGCACAAAAATTAACTCTGCTCAAATTTGAACGAATAGAGGAAAAGAATCCAAGTCATCAAATAAAATGGTGACCTGAACATGTGACGACACACACGTAATGTTCATACCAGGGCGGATTAATGAATGGGCGAGATGAAATGAGGGAGAAAAACGAAAGAAGAAGTGATGGAGTGAAATTACGTTTACTAAAGAGAGAGAGACTGAATGAATGAATAAGATTATGATAGTCAACGAAAACAAGAAAGAAAGAAAGAAAAAGTAAGAAGGCGAATTATGATATCATGAGAGGTTAAAGAAGAAAGAAATATATTCAATGAATGTCATTATGATAGCGAAAGAAAGGGGAAAGGAAGAAAGCACCATGTTAATTGAATAAGATTATGACAAATTAACTAAAGAAAGAAATAGATTGAATGTATGAGATTAAAGAAGGTACAAATAGAAAAATATATTCAATAAATGAGACTATGATATCTGTTGTGGTACGATCCACCTAATTTACATAGTGGAGTACCGACCATATAAATATGGGTTGGTACCGGGAAGACGGGGGAAGAAGTAAGAAGAGATCCAATCGAGAGACTCTGCCCGACTGCGATTAAGTTAACCCATTCTACAGGAACAGTCTTCCCAAGAATATACCAAAACTAACTGTAAATATTGTGTACCTTTTTCCTTGTTTCAATACATTTTGTTTACGTACATTTTGTGTTGTATTATTATTATCCCATGCTTATCCAAGCTTCAACAATATCTAAAGAAGAAAGAAAACAAAAGAAAGAACGAGTGAAGGACAAAAGAAACAAAGGGAATGAATGATAATATGAGATCTAAAACGAAAGATCATAAAAGAGTAAGATTATAAGCCAACTAACTAAATAAATAATGAAAGACAGAATGAAAGTAAAAAAATGGACTGAGATTATCATAGCTAATGAAAAAAAGAAAGAATAAAGAAAGAAAGAGAGTGGATAGATGCATGGATAAGATTATGTGATATAAAGAAAAAATTATTTGAATGAATGAGATTATGATAGCTGAAGAAAGAAAAAAAATTATTCTAAAACATATGAAAGAAAAATTTATGCAACAATGTTAGATAATATTTTGCTACTCAAAAAATAAAATAAAAAAAAAAGATTGATATATAAATACGTATATCATTAAAGATTCCAAAAATATTTCCCTTTTGTTTCGTGAAGTTTGCTTCATGCATTATGAAATCTCAATTCATTTCTTGCATTATTTACATTATTCGGACTATTACCCTCATCTTCATTTATATTCACAACGTTTCGACGCCCGATCTTCTTCTTCAGGTCATTGGAATTTCGAAACGAAAACCTTTATTTCATCCACCGGGATAGATTGTTCTAGTTCCACGTGCCATGCCTCTTTCCGGGCATCTCAGTTATTTCCCTTTAAATCAACTCTCCAAATTTTCGTTCGCCACTTCTGTAGCCCGGTGTTGAACTCACGACAATTTGGGTCTAGTCACTGGATCTAATCAACGTCTTTATCCATTGGGACATGTGTCATATAAAGAAAGCCGAGACGTAAAGACGAAACCGATACGTTGTGAATATAGCAATGAAGATGAGGATAACAGATCGAATAATGTAAATAATGCAAGTAATCGTAATATTTTATCTCAGAGACATTTACAGACCTTAATTTATTATTTTGCACTTCAAACTATTGCATTTCATGCCAACAAAGGGCCAATTTTGGTATGTCTATATTTCTGAGATGAGGTGTTATGTACATTATTTACATTATTCGAACTATTGTCCTCATCTTTGTCGCCATATTTATTACGTTTCCGCCCTTCAGTATCTCTCTATATTTCTGAGATGAGCTATTATGTACACTATTTACATTATTCAGACTATTGTCCTCATCTTTTTCGACATATTTATTACAACGTTTCCGCTCTTCAGTATCTGTCTATAGTTTTGCGATGAGGTATTACGTACAAATTTTTAAATTATTCAGACTGTTGTCCTATTCATTACAACGTTTCCGGCCTTCTTCAGGTGGTTGGAATGTCCTCAAGGACACATGGCACAGTAGATAAAGGTGTCAGTTAGATCCAGTGACAGGACCTAAAGAGTGTGAGTTTCAGAGGGAAATTAACAAGAGGTAATTGATAACTAACATCCATTAGACATGGCACGTGGAACTAGAACAGTCTACCCCAGTGAGCGAAATAAAGGGTTCAGTTCGACATTCCAGCCATCTGAATAAGACCGGAGCGTACAACGGCCAAAGCTTTGTAATAAATATGGCGACAAATATTAGGGCAATAGTCCGAATAATGTAAATAAAGGGTCAATTATTTTATCAGAGAAATAAAAGCAGAGAAATTAAAAAGTAATTCATAACAAAAAAAGACTAAAACAAAAGAAATATATTTTATTGCCAGTTTTACTCCATCTTCTTATTGTTGCTGTGTTATTCTAGTCCTTACTAATTCCCCCCAGCAGGAATCTTTATCTAGAGGCCAGGTGTGACCTCGAATTGGACAGAGGAGGAGAATTATGAAAAAATTCAGCTCGGTTTTGAGAATACAGACAGAGAGGGGCTGAGACGCCATAGACTAACGGGTCGTCAGATACACAGACAGTCGCACACCCACAGGTGGAAGGGATGAGATATTCACTTGAATTTCTGAATGAATCTTGCTGAACATATAGATCGAAATTCCAAGTCGCCGCATTCTAATCTTTTTGTGTTAATAGATACCAAATATACACTATTGACATTATTCGGAATATTGTCCTCATCTTTGTCGCCATATTTATTACAACGTTTCGGCAGTTGTACGCTCCGGCTTTCTTAAGGTGGCTGGAATATCGAACTGAACCCTTCATTTCGCTCACTGGGGTATAAATAAAGGGTTCAGTTCGACATTCCAACCACCTAAAAAAGGCCGAATCGTTGTAATAAATATGGCGACAAAGATGAGAACAATAGTCCGAATACTGTAAATAGTGTACATAATACTTCATCTCAGAAATATAGACAGTTACTTAAAGGCCGACACGTTGTAATAAATATGGCAACAAAGATGAGGACAATAGTCCGAATGATGTAAATAGTGTGCATAATACCTCATCTCAGAAATATGGACAGTTACTGAAAGGCCGAAATGTTGTAATATATATGGCAACAAAGATGAGGACAATTGTCTGAATAATGTAAATAGTGTACATAATACCTCATCTCAGAAATATAGACAGTTACTGAAAGGCCGAAACGTTGTAATAAATATGGCGACAAAGATGAGGACAATAGTCTGAATAATGAAAATAGTGTACATAATACCTCATCTCAGAAATATAGACACATACTGAAAGGCCTTAACGTTGTAATAAATATGGCGACAAAGATGAGGACAATTGTCCGAATAATGTAAATAGTGTACATAATACCTCATCTCAGAAATATAGGCAGATACTGAAAGGTCCCAAATGTTGTAATAAATATGGCGACAAAGATGAGGACAATAGTCTGAATAATGTAAATAGTGTACATAATACCTCATCTCAGAAATATAGACAGTTACTGAAAGGCCGAAACGTTGTAATAAATATGGCGACAAAGATGAGGACAATAGTCTGAATAATGAAAATAGTGTACATAATGCCTCATCTCAGAAATATAGACAGATACCAAATATATTTGATTGCAAATTATTTTACTCACCTTCATTAAATCGTTTACATTAAACCAAAAAACATTATTATTTCTTCCGTCAGATCTTGAATTAATTTCCGGTCGGCCCAATCGTCATCAAGAAGGAAACCACGGCTTATTGACTAAAAGAAGAACGTCATTTTCTTCGTCGATAAGAATCACAGCAGTTGAAGAAACAAGACTGGACAATCGACGTCTTATACTGGCATCAATCCCTAAACAATTTTGGAAGCTATATAAGTCCCCTTATCCAAAAGCTCTGCGTGGATTGTGATATTGGAAGAAGCGGGGCCCGAAGTGAGTGACTGCACGTCTACAGAGAGCGAGACTAGAAAACGCGTACGGGAAGAGAGAAGGTTATAATGTGTGTGGTTTGCTACAATGTAAGTGGCATGGCGTGTTCTTGCTGTGAAAATTTGGCTCGGCGGGACCAAGGAATTTCGTTCGTCCAATCATTTTCTGGGCAATTATCGGTAAAGCAGTGACAGGCTTGTCACATTCCACCAGAGGGAGGAGGATTCATAGGTAGAGAATAGTTTATCACCCACAAGGGCCTGGAGACGTTGTTGATCTCTATCAACGTTGGAGCGTCAGGTGTAGGCATTTCGAGCCCAAATATAACTAATCCATTTCTGGCCTGATCTGACTCTTGTAAAGTTT